TTGGAAACAGAAAGATTTGCGTTTGCTTTTTATATAGACCACCTGACGTGCCTTATAGTTACCTGAAATCTGTATTATACTCTCTTTTTATTGACACTCTCCCACTTGTAGACTCTGTAATATTATTAGGGGACTTGAACATTAATCTATTCGGGGAAAAAAAGAGTGATGGCAAGTTCTTAAGTAATCTGATGGAATCCCTTAGCTTATCGCAGTTGGTAATGGAGCCAACTAGAGTCACAGAAATGTCATCGACCCTTATAGACCATATTATTACTGAAAGTGTTATGGAGATGAGCAGGGTGGGAGTGATTGACACTTCCCTAATTTTAACTAGCTATGGTAAGAAACTAACTGACCACAAACTGGTTTTTTGCGATTTTCCGTGTAGCAGACGAAAACGGAATGCAGAATATATAACATATCGAGATTTCACAAAGTTTGACATGCCTCACTTTATTTCATTAGCTTCAAAAACCAACTGGGCAGCGATAGCTAGGATTGATGGTTTAGAGGAAATCTGTACTAAACTTACAAATTCAATCATTCAGATTTATGATGAGTGTGCGCCCATAGTTAGGAAAAGAGTCACCAAACGAAAAGCTGCATGGAGGAATGAGGAAATAAAATTTCTCACAAAAATAAAAAATAAATATAAGAAGGAGCATCTGCATGCAAATTCCCCTGAGTCTAGGCAGCAGTACTGTGGAGCTAGAAATAGGTTAAATGGTGCAATAAGGCGGGCAAAGCAGAACCATTTCAGCAATAATATTGAAATTAGGAACTCTAAAATGTTCTGGAAATCAATTCGGAGAGATGGCCCATCTGTATTGAACCTAAAGAACAATAATTCTTGTAAACTAGCTCCAGATGATATGAATAGTTTTTTTGCTACCATGGGAACTGGTAATAATATTAACCCTAATGTTCTAAACTATTACAAATCTAACATTGCTAAACACGTTTCTGGGACTTTTAGTTTCTCTGAAGTAAGTGAAGGCCAAGTAAAAATGGCCATGAATAGCATAACTTCAGCATCTGCTGGAATAGACGGAATCAACATTCATATGATTAAGTCACTAAGCCCTTACTGCCTCCCTGTAATAACACGCCTAATGAACATGTCATTAAGAACGGGTAGTTTCCCAGAATGTTGGAAACATAGCCTGGTAATCCCCCTTCCTAAGACGAACAATGCATCCATGGTTTCACACTTTAGACCAGTATCATTGTTGCCTTCGTTGTCAAAACTCCTAGAGAAGGTTGTTGTGGACCAGATAACGCATTTCATTGATGCAGAGAAGATTTTAGATGTTAACCAATCTGGTTTTAGAAGGGGACACAGTACATGCACAGCTTTGCTTAACATGATTGATGAAATTTACAAAGCCAAAAATAATAAGCTGTGCAGCGTATTGTCGTCGTTAGATTATACACAGGCGTTTGATTCTGTAAACCATAGCTTGTTGATTTCAAAGTTAAAATATTTTAGATTTGATTGTAAGGCTCTAGAGTGGATGACCACATATTTGAGTGGGAGATCACAGATTACAAAGGTGGGCAATCAGCTCTCATCGTCAGTGGCAAAGACAGTCGGTGTTCCCCAGGGAAGTTGTCTTGGTCCTATCTTGTTCAATCTGTATATAGTAGGCATTGAATCAGTGTTGGATTTCGGGATTATGTATTCTTATGCTGATGACTGTCAAATCCTCTTTTCATACCAGCCTACTTTGGTTGGGGAGGCATTACAGCATATGAGTAGTGACCTTTCAAAGGTTTGTGAATGGTCTAAGGATCATGGATTAAAGCTAAACCCTGAAAAATGTTCCACTATACACTTTGCCAATACAGCAATCTATGAGCAGCTGGAAAAAAATAGCATCAAAGTTACAGTTGATAACTCAGAGCTTTCAACTTCCAAAAGCATTAAGATTCTTGGTGTGACAATTGACTCACAGCTGACATTCTCTAGCCATGTAAAACAGATAAGCAAACGTGTTGTTGGAAAATTAAAAGTGCTTAATAGGTTTAGAACATTGCTCCCAGCAAACATCAAGTTGAGGTTGGTCAAATCCCTGATTTTCCCTACTTTAAATTACTGCCTACCTGTTTTTGGATACAGCTTAACACAGGAACAGATCACAATACTTCACAGGCTACAGAATTGCTCCCTAAGGTTCGTATACAAACTTAAAAAATATGATCATATAACAAGTCACCGTAGGATCTCAAATACAATGTCCATCCGAGAGAGCTGTGATAAGCAGGTTGCATGTATCGTCCACAAAACACTGGTCACTCAGGCACCACAGTACTTGAAGGAAAAACTGAAAGCGAGGTCGGCCGTGAGAGAGCGCAGAACTAGACAGGACTTGTTGCTTGACATACCAAGGGTTGTTCTTGATGCTGGGAGAAGGGGGTTTTCTTACTTCGGGCCGGCTCAGTACAATGCACTTCCTTGCAAGCTAAAAGCACTGTCTTACAACAGTTTTAAGAATCACCTAAAGAGTTTGTAACTAATCTTATTTTGTTTCGTAGTTATAAGAGGTTTTATTTAGTTTAAGTCCTGACTTGAGTCAATTTGTAAAACAGTTTTGTAACTGAAATTCGCTCATGAATAAAGACCTTATTTATTTATTTTTATTTATTTATGTACGTACGTTTCCTTTACTTGCAAACAGATTGTTATAAGCTATCTCGTCGATAAATGTATCATCTTGTGATTTACATAATTCACCTCACAGTGTAAACAGAAATTCAGATTTATGTATTTTTTTGTAAAAAACGTTTACAAAATCAATTGAAATAACTTATAATTTATTTATTTATTCGTACTAATAACTTTAATACTTTCAAATGTAATAATGATTGCAATTTTACCTTGAAACGAAGGCAAAAAGCACGAATTTTACATAAAATCTCTTGATCATCGCTCCCTGATATACACAGTTTGGTTGAAATGACGGTTGCCATGGATACAGTTTGATTACTAACACTGTGGTGTGTTGGTTTTCGGTCACAGGAATCAACAATGTTATTACACCTTACAACATATCAATTGCCAAGGGGATAGGGTATTCATGATTCCATTCGATTTGATAGACATTTAGATCGGAAATGTATTCCGAATCATTGAGTTTTTGGTTGAACATTTCATAACTTAATTTCCCTGGGTAGCAAAATGATAACATACCCTAGCATTGGTGCATAATACTTAGTTATTTCAACTTGTAAATAAACAATCTCTATATATAAAAGGCAAAGTTGTCACTGACTGACTCACTAAATCACTCACTCACTCATCACTGATTCTCTTACTTCCCATTTACCTAGGAGTCAGAAATTTGGTACACTGATTCTTTAGGCATTAAATAGGAAAACTAAGTTCTTTTAGCGAATTTCCCTATAGGGAAGTAGCTATTACCGTAGGTGGCACGGTAAGACCTAGACCCGGGACCGATTTACTTTTTCATTTTGATGTCCCCAGAGGCCAAAAACACCATTCGTTCAAATTTTTATATATGTATATATGGATATATACGTCCGTGAACGCGATAACTTGAGTAATATTTGTCCGATTTTGATGAAATTTGGTTTAAAGGTGTAAAGCGGGATAAACTTGAATGAGTTCGCGAACCAGCACGATCGGACCATGGGAACGGGGCTTTACGGGGGGTTTTATGGGGTAAAAATTGGTTTTTCTCACTTTTAACCCTCAAAACACAAAATTTCCCGATTTCTCTTTAGACCTTTTTAAAGAGCTTAAAAAACAAATAATTTAGTATATAAAAGTATTTTTGTTCGATTATTAGTAACGGAGAAAATTAAAAAAATTGTAAATTTAAAATTTCCATGTTATTCTTATGGAGAATATTGTCAAATGTTGTAGTTTGCTTGTTTATGGATATATTTTGATCAAACTTGGCAAATTTATTTATTTTGTACTAAGCTATCAATATTTTACTCAAAAACACACTTTATTAGTTTCCTTGTAGCAGCAAACCACCTAGGTTCACTCGTTAAACCTAATGTTATTAAAATATATTTAACTGAAAATCAATTCAGACAAATGGAAATTCGCTTAGTCAGCAGGTTTGCTGCGGCGGGTGTATTTATTCTGATCGGACTCTCGGGCTCCGCCCCAGTGGCTCTGGAGTTTCCCATGTTAACCTTATCAGTACTCAACGAACTTCAACCTGGAGGCGACTTAGCGTAGCGAACGAGCTAACCTGAAGGCAAGTGAGCTCAGCGAACGAGCTCCAACCTAAAGGTGAGTGAGCGTAGAGAACGAACTTCAACCAGGACGTGATTGAGCGATGCGAACGAGCTCACTTATGAAGTTAAACGGGGCTAAGCCCGCGGGTACAGCTAGTACACTAATAAATAAGAGTTTTCCTAGTTAGATACCTCTTTCAGCAGTCCTACTCAACTGATTTTGACGATTGAGGTAAAGCTTTTTATCTAGCGGATTTACGAATGGTAATTGAAAAGGTATTCCCTTTAGGGGTTCGCCCCCCTAGCGTTTGATTACACCTAAAGTTTGCTTTAAAAGGTTCAGTGAAGCTAGAAACTCTCTATAAAGAAAATTTCTATACATAAAGAACCATTATAAAATCGTTCACATGTGAACAGCTGATCTTTAAGTTGAATGTTTAACGATAGCCAGAATGCAAACAAGAGACATAGCACTTTATGAAAATGGATTTTAAATAAACTACTTTTTATAACTGTAACCTGGTTGAGGTAGGTAAATGACTCTTCATGTTGTAGATATAAAAGCCAAAGATTTAATTCATTGTAAATTATTTTTTTATTCCTTTAAAAACTGCCTCAAATATATATATTCTTTGGTGAGAAAAATGGGCATTCCATTTCTCGTTTCGCCTCAGAAACGAATCCTAGAAAACTGCGTAATTAAACACGGTCCCCTCGTTATTATTTTATTTACCATAATCTAATTATGTTACGACATAATTTCAAGCAGATAGTCAATCAGGCCGCTACTGCTGTGGACTGCTATTGGACGATGCCTGAGTAACAGGAGAGGTTTGTGCTTTGGTAGTGACGTCTTCTGATGAGGCTTGGAACTGGATAATGATGGCCATGTAGGTGGTCACTGCACTGGCCACCTGGAAATCACCAGAGGATGAATGAAGGAGGAATCTTTTCAGCATAATAGTTATTTGTGTAACTAGTGGGCAAAGTGGCACTTTGCTGCACACCTCGGCAAGAAATGTGCTCCGCGTTTTGAGAATATAGTTCCGTATGTTTTTGTAATTTGAAGTGGTTTCTGCGCCTAAAAAAATGCTTTAAAGGTATTTTCTTGTTTATTAAGATCGTAGGGATGTTTTAAAAACGTTTAAAAGAAAAGTCGAGAAAGTTCAGAAATACCGAAACTATAAACACGAAATGACAGGTTAAATCGTAGTTATAATAGTCAATCAGCTGCTCATAGTATTATTTATTATCTTTAAGTGTTGCCAACCTATTTCCAAGCGTACACGGATTACGTGCATAATAGAACCACGCTGTTTTGTGTTGTTTCGTTGGAATCCTGATGTGCGGCAAAGTATAAACCGTACGACAAAGTATAAACCGTACGGCAAAGTATAAATATGCAGCAATTAGCAGCTTTCTGTACTATAAACAGTACAAGGAAGGCAACTTTGTCGGGTGACTGTAGGAAAAATAAAATTCGTAACAATAGGAAATCTTTTTACGAAACCTTTTGACAAACTCGTTTCGTCGAATTATTTAATTTTTGATGGATTGACTTAGATCACTTGGCTGTAGATATTTTTTATTACTTTTTGTTGACTGGCTCTTGGTGTATTTGTTCTGACTGTAAACATTTTACTTACTGATATCACGAGAGATGTCTGGAGTGTGAACAATCCACAAGCGGTGAACTCAACATCTCTATGAAACAGCTGATCTGCAAACGTCTCCAACTAGAAACGAAATATATTTTTACGATAATACAGTATTGAAGTCTTATGTTATACCATTACCATTGTATACATACATACATAACATTCATAAAGACAATATATTTTCTCAATGAGAATGAAAGAGCTTCTTATAGACCACGCTACAATTACAGCATTTTCTTTTATTCGTATTGTAGGAGGGGTGGACTCAGGATCCTAACACGTCAACTGAAGCTTATTGTGCATAAAAATATGAGATATGGTTGAATATTTTAGTTAGGCTTCAAAAGTTGATGCGACATTAATCATTCTGTACTTCACAGAGAGGTAGTAGTCCTTTTAGTTAGGCTAGGTTAAAAAGTAGAGTAGCGTATATTCGACCGAATCAGTCATTGACAACTACGCACCCTGTCGGAGGCTCAATAGCTAAGTTCATTGACATTATAAAACTGAGCTCAGCTTTAATAATATAATGGGATGCCTACTTCTATCCATACCCAACAACAATACTAGTTTTGAGGACGTTTCACCGTTACAATGACTTTAGTATTAAAGAGTTAGTTTTAAAAGTTACGTTTAAAAACAAATTAGTAAAAGTTTATTTGTTGCAGCCTACTTTGTTTTGGTAAGTATTACGATTGTGTTCTTTTGAACAAAAAAACATTTTTAAGAAACAGATTAACAAAATGCATTACCTCTTCAAATAGTGGTTTTGCCATTATGTTTCCCATCAGCTTTGCAACAATAGCCACAGTACTTTTAGCCTGTAATGGGACATGTGTAATAAGTAATGTCATATAAGTAGTTTCATCACTCAATCAATATTGTAAGATTTAATCAAAACAAACCAAAATTATAGTTGTTAGAAGCTTAACTTAGGCATACTTCTTAAGTGAACATTAGTGCTAGAATAATACAAATCTTGTCAAATACGCGAAAGGAACGTAAAAACGTAACCTTTTCACTAAATATCAAACACTAATATCTTACACGCATTTTTACATGCCACATCCTTTAATTTCTTTTTTATACTTACTATCCAAAGAACAGTGATATGTCTGAATGAAAGCATATAATTTCCTAAAAATTGTTAGTATGTTTTTCGTATGCATCATATTCAGGTGTAACAATGGGTATAAACATCCAGCTAAAGTATAATTTTACTGGATTAAAGTACTTGTCTATCTGTCAATACTAAGTTATAAAGTGGTTTTACCACAATAACTCAATTAATATGAAAATTACAAGCTATTTATTTTTTGACACTAATAAATCTGAAATGCATTGAAACCACTTAATTCTTTATCAAGAACGAAATAACAGAAAACACTAAAACCAATTTCCGATGCATATCTTGTTTACCTCTTTTACAGCCATTGAACAAGGTGTCACCATAACAAACAGAAGTAACGCCGATATCAGTGTCCATATTGCTGAAAACCCTATGAATACCCAGTTCCCTACCATGTTGTCGTACAGGACAAATAGTAGGTACGGAGTGTAAACTAGGTATGTGAATAGATATATCATTGCAGTAACACATTGACAGCCGTAGATAGAGTTGATGTCGTAAACAATACAGCAAAGACTCCAGTGAATTTCACTCAGTCCTGGTAAGGTCATCTTTGTTTCTTGAGGCACTGTAACAATTGCGTAGATTACCTTTTGGCAATGGGAGCTTTATACAGGTTCTTTTTAAATTATTTCCAGATATTTCTCTGAAAGGCTTTACTCCAATAAATTATACCAAAACACTTTTGTTAACTTCCTCTCTCGGAGTAGGGTCTTTTGAAGCGATGTCATCCACCAAATGCGTAAATATATGACATCCTAAATGCAAATCGGTCCCAAACTCAGTCCAATCACATAAAATAAAGATTGTATGACATTTTACAATATTTCATAATTAACAGGCAATATCAAGTCCAGCGAAACATGTTATGGCGAGTCAAGGCTACAGGCAATAAGATCTCAGCTTTTGTTACAAAGTTCTAGAAGCTGTATCAGCGTATATAAGCCACCGTAGTAATAAATTTGTCTTGACTTTAAATCACTCTATAACTAAACAACATTTAAAAATAAACTATTAAATAATATTGAATCAAATTGTTTGTTTTCAGGGGTTCCTTATAGTTCTCAAGTTTTTTTTTTATTTGAAAATGGAAGATATAATAAATCTAAGTCATGTGGTATTTTAAGAAAGAAGTTTTATTTTAATAATCGTAAAGGAGATGATTTTATTTAATTAAAACAATGTAAATATCAAGTTGTATTGCTCTATGATCAAGTTGTACACAATAAACCTAAAAATGTTTGAAACACTATTAGTACATTAAAACAAAACATAAAACAATCTAATCACAATAACACCCCTACTTACTTGTAAACGTTTCGACACAAGGTAAAGCCATTGTCCACATGAGCTGTTTGGAACGACTCCTCATGACCAGGTCCAGGACTCGTTCATTGACCAATCGGAATCGTTCTCTTACTGACAACACGATCTCCATTACCTCCAACATGCCGAAAATGATTACCACCTAAAAACAAAACTCTAATACAGAATCACCATACGGAATTTGAATTCGAATACGTAGCAAGAAACTTAAAAGCAATTTAACTAAATGACCTTTGAAAATAAAAAGCTCACATTAAATTTACTTCCCAACAGTTACATTAGATAGCGGCTATTTCTGCACTGTTTAAAATAGACATAAGTTTCTGTTCTTTTTCCTTTTGCTACCCTCATTTTTACTTTTCTACAATTTCAAGGTTTTCTACGTAAAAAAAACAACAAATAAGCAGCTACTGCTTAGTGATGAGGTAGAAACAAGTTTTTATCACTAGCTGTAATCAGATTGGTTATTGCACTGTTCGACATCGGCAGTTGTTTTGAATATCACGGTAATGTCTTAGGTTTGACTGTTCAAATAACTTATTTATCTCCAGAGTATGGATGTCATTGAGGGATTTAATTAGTTTTTATTTCAGTTCAGTTAATGCAAGGAAAACTTTGTAAGTCCTAGCAACATATGAAGAATTAAGAAAAATGTTTTATTAGGTTACATCTTTTATTACTGGAATCCGACAAAATAAATACGAACAAATATCCTTACATTTATTTTTATGGGTAAGAAAGAAATAAAGCACCAGGAGATTGGGATGGGCTGGACACGTGTGGAGGAGATAGAACTCATTAATAAAAGCTGTGGACCAGAACAAACGAGAAGGCAGAAGACCACTCGGCAGGACTGTGGTGAAAGAGTCAGGCTCTAAAAGATATGGCTTCGTTGGGCACTACACCTGAGGCAGCCTAGAATAGAGAAGAGTGGAGAGGAATCGTTGGCAAGGCCAAAAACCTTTTGAGGTTTCAATGACCGTGAAGGTAATTTAAGTAAGTAAGAAATAAAAAATCCATATTATGTTCTTAGGTAACAATTAATTAAAAATTCATAGGTGCAAGGCCTTCCACCCACTGCGCCACGTTCATACAATACAAGACGTGTGTATGAGGGCGTCTAAAACACCACAAGCTTGGTTTTAAACGATGTTGAAGCAAACTGTACTTACAAGAATTTTGGTGGTGGTAAAACGCATGTAGTTTTTTTCCTTTCATGTGAAGGGCCGAACAAAAATGTTTACGGTAGAATCAAGATCTCTCTCTGCCTATACACTTTCAAACACGTACTCACCCCTTACCCCCTTCAGCAGGGGTTGTCTATTCTAAAGCGGACCACCCAATGGGGTCATTGGTATCTAACAGAACAAGACCAAACTATATTCAGATCGTCTTACGTAAGTAATGTGTGGCTTGCTTAAATATGTGCTGAATGCATGTGCCAGAGGGCAGATAAATGCCACTTGTCTCACCAGTTACACAAATAGTTGTTTAAAATGCGGAACCAACCCGAAAAAACTCGAAAGTCCCCAGGGTAATAAAGGCCATAAATACGTCTCCTCTATTGTTGATATACAATGCGTGAATGAATTCCAGGATGCACATTGCGAAAACACAGTCAAGAAGTAAAATGGAGACCATCCTACTTCTTGGAGGACCTAGCTTATTATGGAGAAGGAAGTCTACTTCTCGCATCTTATCCACAAGCTGAATCTTCTGTTTGGAGCTGGAAAATTCAAAGATGAGAGTTAGAAGAATGCTAAAATGTTGATAACATGTAACTCGACATAATTTGTTACGTAGCATGGTAGTTTAGTCGTAATGTAGGCCTACTAGGCTGATAAGTCAGACTTTGCTGGTTCGGGACCGATACCTTTACTGTTGGCACTAAATGGATTTTCTGTGTAACTTACACTGTAAAAATACTTGCTTTTTCATTTTACTTTTGATCACTGTAATAGTTTATTAGGTCCAAACTAAGTACAAAAAAATATTCTTTGAAGCAGTTTAAAAAATAAGAATATTACGATTACATTTTATAATTTTATAAATTTAGTATCGTAACATGGGAGATCTAACATTAACTTATACATTCTAGTCCTTATCTTGTACACGAACCACATAAATAACATTCATTATTTCCTATTAGACAAGTATTTATTTTTACCTGGTAGCAGCAACTACAACAGGCACCATGGATCCTACAAACGTGGAAAAGAGGCTGCAAAATGAGGTTATCCTGAAAGTTGTTTGTGCTGATATATCCGGCAGATCCTTAGACTGTAAAAATCGAAACCATGTATAAAAACAGGTAGTATAATGATTCTGTGTACTGGGTTTAAGGATATTATTGAGCCAAAAAAGCACTTCTCTTTGCTGGAAATTACCCATTGAAGCTTTATGTGTCATAACTGATCTTCAAATCCTTAAAAAATCTGCTTTATGGGCGTCTAAAGTTTCAGTGTTAACAATGAAGCGGACGTTAATAAGGCATTCATTAAAATAATGCCAGCTGTTGATAACAGAAAAGTTAAATAATTATCCCGTGGAACAAGAGCTCTATGAGCAAGTTTTTTTTATTACCATCTGTTGACAACAAAGGGTGGTGCATAAATAACAGATCATCTTTAAACATATGTCAATCAGCTGTTATTGTAAGCAGAATTTTCATTGTTGTATTAAACAACAACAAATGTCGTTTGCATTTGAAGCCTATTTAAAAAATAACGAGTCTATGATTGTAACTCAGCGGTTGTTTCAAAATGATTTCAACTTTCGTCATCATAGTGTGGTTACCTCTAGGAATAATATCCATAGGTGGGTGTTTATTTTAAGACCTAAGGGATCTGTTTTCAAGAATAAAAATCCGGGTACATCAAGAGTTCGGGAACCTGTTCTCCAAAGACCAAAAAGATCGGCAAGAAAGCATTCTGTCACTTGAGGTTGCTAGGACCAACTGGTTGATGCAAACTTGTATCGTACCTTACATCTCGATTTGAACTTACATACCAAACAACTGCTTGTTGCACATGACCTTTAATCAAGGTTACAATAGATTACGCCTGATGTTTTGCCAAGGAATAATTCAGCTGATTGAAGATGAAAACCTTCTGGGGCACCTTATAATGTCACTTATAATTAAAATAGGTTTCAACGCAAAAGGTACGGTGTTGTACTGTATAACGATCCTAGTTTACTCAAATGACAAGACATTTTTGTTGTTTAATACAACAATGAAAATTCTACGCCTAACATCAGCTGATTGACATTTGTTTAAAAATGAACCGTTATTTATGAACCACCCTTTACAAAGTTCGACTGTGAGTCATTCTAACCTAACCTGCTGAAGTCCTCAGTAGTATAATCTACTAGGGACGAGAACTTGTGTACAGTTGGCGACTTGATGTAAAGTCTACCTATTCTTTGTTTACGATTTTTGGTTAATTTGAGATGCTGTACATTTGACATTATGTTATTTTTTATACAAAGAAAACTGTTGTAATTTTTTTCTCAAAATATTTGACAAATTTACACATTTTATCGTATATTATTAACATTTAATAAAAAAGTATTTTTCTCTTCACCGTAGCAGCAAACCTAAGTACAACGTAGCAACTAAATGGTACAGATCAATTTAAACAACACGACGGCCCAAATAAATAAGATGAAGTTTAAAGTTATAATAACACTAATAACAGTATTGATACATTACCTGCCAAATCCAATTAGTAAACATTACGCATTCGAAAAGAAATACTAAAACGGAGTAGAAAACCTTTAAACATGAATAAGATGCAACATCCCCTCTAAGGGGTAGATGGTTCACAGTCACTGGCATCAATCCTAGGATCTGCAGGCCACGTAACACTACCGGGGAAAATATGTACATTGTGATACCAAGACGAGCTCTCAAAATCAACGAACTTCTATCCTGACGAAAAGAGTCACACTTCCGACCAGCTTAGCAAATACAGCGTAGAATTCAAATGGAACTCTGCTATATGGTTCTATATGTCATCGTTACAACTGTGATGTAATTCGATCGATAGTAATGTTTGTTTGGATTGTTTTACGTGGACAATGTATTAGAGTGACATCGTTATCCATATTAAGTCAGAGTGAATTGAAATGATGGATGTTTTAACACTTTGTTGGGGCGGCTATTTGATTTGATTCTAGTAGAAGGGTTGGTAAGAAAAAAGGTGGAAAAATAACTTGACAATTTATATTTTAATAATTTTTGTTCTGGTTTTGTAAAGGGAATTTTCTAATCTTCAGAAAGCTCTTACCATCTTAGAAATTTGTATTTTTAATTTGAAGATCACTCGACCAATCCTTTATATAAACATGTAACATAGCTTAAAGGTATTCGTGATTGCCGGGATTTGGACCTGGCACGATAGACAAGATCTCTCTAGCCACAAGACCATTGACGCGTCTCAGTATATAGTATATACATTTAAAAGACTAAGTATTGCATGCAGAACATTTTTAAAAGAAGGTAAAATAATTAAAGAAATTCAAAAACTAGTTCTGTTGCCAACTTTGAGGTAGATTACCTACTATATTATAATTTTCTTGTGCCAATTACAAGTAAATTTAATAAGCTGCTGTGGTCAGATTATCATTCAGTTAACTATAATGTTTTTAGCTGTTAAGTTGCGTTGAAACTCACACCTAACCTAATAAGTTTCTCCATATTTTATCTAATGTATTCGGGGAAATAAAACTGCTCTTGTTAATACATTATGATACACTTAATTTATTCAGCAAATCTTTTATCTTACAATTAATATCATTTTACAATAAAAGTAGAGGCAGTTATTGTACCCTAAATAAAATTATAATACTTAGTAAATAAGCTTTCGAAATACTAAATCTCATTCGGAAGGTCGCCTGATAATTCAGTTTGGTCCGAGAGGATTAGTTCCTCATAGAAGTTGGACTGATTTGGTCTCTATACATTTTGTAATGAAGACCAGTATAGAACGGGGTTTCTAACGGAAATTATTTATTGTTTCTTTCTTAATATTTTTGATGGTATTTTAGTGTAAGTCCAAATTTATTTGTTTAAATTTGTGATCTTAATAAAAATTTATGAAATCTTTACTAAAACAGAGCTAGGCATTTATTTATCAATTCAGTGTATAAACTTACTAATTTATGTTAGATATGGCTCTAGGTGTATGTTTAGTCCACCCAAACATATGTTAAACACATAATTTAGTTAATGTATTACCATTTTTATGCAGGGCTTAAAATAAGCGAACTGTTAGGGCTTATTGAACCTTTAAAACAAAAAATAAAATAAAAATACACTGTTCCAACGTTATGAAAATAGTGCAAGGTAGAATGTTAATTCTAAAACTAATATTTCGAAAAAAAATAAATTAAATACAGTAATGGCTTTCGTTTAACTACAGTATATGATCATTTCCCAAAAGTGTCTAAGTTCCTTTTCGTGGTAGATTACTTGAAGCAATCAACTTAATTATTTGGTCATTGGATTATCTCAAGAAGAAGAGTACAAAATAAAAATTAAAAATTACATTATTATTATAAGCGATGTACTGTAGATTAAATCAAAAAGATTTCGGAAACATTATGATTAGAATACTAATAATTGTATAATGTAACACTTTCTTGTGATGGTGATGTATAACGCTGTCCAATATGAAGAGTTATTTCTCAATTTGACGTCGTATTAATCTATGATTTTGACAGCTACTTATTCCCGTTTGTTTATCATGGTTTAATGGTTCTTCATGGTTCATGGTTTATCATGGTTCTTCGTTAAGGAAAACTTTGATATAACATGATCGTTTCTTTTTTTAAATTTGTAGTTTAAAATTTGAGATAATAAAGTGCATGTCTACTCATTATATTATATAGGTATATTGAAGACTTCTAATTTTTGGATTTAAATAAAGCTTTGTTTAATCTCTGAAAACCAGGCTATGTGATTATTAAAGAACCAAACTATACTGAGATAATGAGTAATTATTTGAGATAACAAGTCTTTATAGTAGTAGGGAAACTTATAACTCATTTTTATAAACCATTCAATTATAGAAAAAAAGTTTAAGTAGAGTAGGTGCATTGTTAACATTGCAGTAAGGAACCAAATAAAAGTAAATTTACAAATGGAATAGAAATTATTAAAAATAATGTTTTACAAAGGGACATAAATACAATTTGTTACTTCGAATGTCTTTAAAATGTTAAGTCACGCAATTAATAATTATTTATTGTTATGGTCTTAGATTATCGTTGACTTAATTATTCAAACAGTTAACAGAAATACTAATTATTCTCGCAGTATAAAGTTATTAACAAATAGTAGTTTACGCAACGATTGCGTAAAGACTTAACGCGAGTTGCGTACACCACTTTACCTACGACCGTTTTTTAATTACTAAAAATCTGGTTTATTATTACTAACAATCACTACTCATAACTTCCTAGAGAGGTTATGTTTTCGTGTATTGTCATTGCCACTGAAAGTGATGCAACGACTTATTGTATAATCAGCTGATTTCATGTAATTACGTGTTTGTAAAACTTTGTTAGATAATACGTTACTTTTTCAGTCAATAGGTTCTGCTAGCAGCATTCTTACCATAAATACTGTATCAGGTACAATTAGGGAAATATTGCATATATTTTTGGACAACTGAATAATATAGTGAAACAGTTAATTTACAGTTAGATCTCAGCATTGAATATGTGGTCCACAATGAGTTGGTTATCAATTTAACCTTATTTTGTTTTGTCCATTTAATGAATTGCTGGTATGTATTTGCATACCTTTGTTTTGATTTTGGTGGCAAAAGATTAACACAAACAGTTTGTGCTCTTATTTCCATCTCGTCAACATCACTTTCACTGACTGATATTTTAAAATCAACCTTCATTTAACTTCCACCAACTTAGGTTAAGAATACGCGAGTATCAACAGGAACAAGCCGGATCAACAATTAAAATTGTCAACTGATCAGCTGATCAGCTGATTAGTTAACGTTCGAAGTATTACAATTGTACTTCTTTTCTCTCAATCCTTGAACGGGTCCGTTACCCGTGTTGTTATGAGAAAAACTATGCTGTTATGAAACTATGCTGTTATTAAAGTAAAGAGATGTTAAGTGAAACTTTTCAATTCTAAGAACTGTACTGAAATGACTACTTTAAAAAACGGTCGTAAGTAAAAAAGTTTTCCCCCGC